AGATGATGTTATCACCTGGAAACACGCCGGCGTTGCTCACCATCCCACACCCCTTTCGCTTCTAACGCAGGGAAGCTGCGGCGGATTCTACTGGGGGCGAGAACATCGCTTTGGGATTTCCTCTGACATAAAGTCCTAAGTAGAGAGTCCGTTTGGTGTAGTGGTTAAGAGCAGCGGGCTTTAATCTGGAGAAGCGTCTGGATTCCCACACCTCCCCTGGAAGCCCGCTGGGTGACCCTGGGTCAGTCAGGTTCTCTCAGCCCAACAAATAAACCTAGTTTACCATAAAAAGAGCTTAGAGTTTCAGACTGCCAGACAATCTTCGGATCTCCCGGCTATACTACACCCACTGCCATAGGATAATTAATTAATTACCTCCTAAGTTATCATAAAGATGTGGAACCAAAGAACGTTGCTTAGGTCGTTCTCCAATGCCCCCCTCCCAGCCCAATACAGGGATTTGCCTAGCTATGACCACCCAGCAGGATGACCCACAGCCCAGTTCAACTAGAAGCCATTGAACCGAAGCGCATCCTTCACTGCGAAGTCAGTTCTGCCGGCTTGAGGAGAAAATCCCACTGATTTCAAAGGAATTTACCTCCCATGCAGGGACAGTAGTCCGGAGAAATCCAAGCACTTCATCTTAGCTGCTCCTCAGTTGCGGGTGGCGATGCAACTTTATTTCAGCCGCAAAGAAAAACAAACAAACAAACAAGGAGATGGGTGTGGATGAACACTAACCACTAGCGGCTTTAGAAACAAGAGCCCAAGGGCCCCTCAAGGCCTCTCCAAAGTCTATGAAGAGGCCAAGCCAAACTGTGGGTCTGGCAAAACCTGGCCTTAAGTAAGGCAAAATACATCTTTGGGGAAGGGAAGCCCAGCTAAACCCCAGCACATCAGGGCACTTCGGGTTCAAGACAGCGCTACTACACAGTTCCCCCAGTTCCCCTACGCACCAAACAAAGCCAGCCCAAACTCAAGGCATTGGGTGGCGGTTATCTCAAAACCCACTCCCTCCAGGTCAAGGCCGGACTCATTCCTCGGGCCCGCAGCAGGAAGAGAACGTTCCTACTCGGGAGGAAGGGTCTTGCTCTCCAGCATGGCTCTTTAACTACTCCAACTCCCTTGCTCGTCTAAACGGAACTTCCACGTAAGCGCGCGCCTTTCGGATCGCAGTCCAGCCATTATAGAAGACGAGGCCGGCGGTTTCAAGGAGGGCGACTTTTCGGGCAAGGAGGACGCTCAGATGACTTTCGCCTCGGAGAGGTGGAATCGTGGCCGCTTTCCCTGCACATGCGCTTCCAAGAGAAGCCGCTGGCCAGAGTATCAGAAGACGCGCCGCGCTGGCTGTGAAGGACATCAGTGTGCGTCTCTCTACAACTGGCTTTCGCCTGCCTAACGGGCGGCCAGGCCCCTTTCTTGTCGCACGGCAACAACTACAGAAATTATACCAGCGGAATCTGTCAACAGATTTATTCCATAATGTCAGGAAGCTGAAACAAAGGGCGCTGCCCCCCCCTTTTGCATCGAAAACAACTTGATAAAAGAACTAGATTCTATTCCCCGCCCCCATCATTTTTCCCTAAAGAACTATGCCGCCACTCAAGGCTGTTTTTCAAAAAAAAGGGGAAAAAATGCCAATAATTAGAACAAACTATAAAGGTCTTGTGTATTTCTGTTTTATGTAGATAATAAAATATTACTTTAACATAAATATATAAGGATCTCTGCGCTTTTATTTTCCCCCACAAGCACATCCAAATGTACCAAAAACAAAGTATTTCTTTAAAGAGACTGAACAAAAAAATCACATCCCATATAGATTTTTTTTTTGTTCTCCTACTCATTTAAAGCTACAGGGAAAAAAACAGTTTCCAGAACCTGTTTGCTTTAAAAGAAATAAATATACATTGAGGCAGGCCACTTAAAAATGATATGAAAATATTTCCCTGGGTAGCATTAAAAAAAATAGACAAAGAAAACATTTAAACTATATCTGCATTTCGAAGGACAAATTTTGAACATATATACAGAGCGGTAAGGTTTGCGTGGTAACTTTTTATTATTATTTTAAGTAAACCTATTCATGGGTTTAGAGGAACTGCAGAAATCTCTCCCCCAAACTCCTTCTTTTTACTTTACCCAGATATTAATAAGTGTCCGAAACTTCACTTCCTCTTATTTGCCATTTCCTCTGTCCCTGACCTGAAAGTCTTTAGGAGGAGTTCATCTCCACACCATAATAACCAGCAGCTCAATACCCTTAAAAAATTAGTGTCCATATCATGGGGAGGGGGTTGAGAAAAAATTGAACAGACTTCTTTGGGAAATGTATTTGTCTTTTCAGGGGGAGGGGGAGGAGGAGAACATCGGATGCCATTCTAAGGCTCAGAAAGATCAACGAAGAACATAATTTTAAATCTCACCTACCCATTCCAATGTTTACCTGCCAGTTGTTCTGAGGAAAAAGGTTCATTGGCCTCATAATTCTCAAACATTCCGCTAGGCAAACTTTGCAAAGATTCTTTTTAAATAAAAAGTTACATACCCCCCCCCTTGTGCTGAGTAGATGTTTCAAAATGTGAAATCTGTCACCATCACAGTTTCAAGGGTTATCCCCCCACCCCAATATAGAATATAATATACAGTTTCAAGGTCCCCCTTCCTGCCTCTCTAAAGCCTTCTGCTTTTTTGGAAAGTTAACCGTTTTCCCAGCAAGGAAATGCATCTATTAAATCGACTAACAAAAGGGAGGGGGGGAGAAGGATTGAAAATGGCATTTTGGTTGCTTTGTTTTCACACCATTTGGCTCCCTCCAAAGAAAAAGCCGACCCGGTGAAGCCAGTCTCTCCCCCCACCCCCCTTTTCCATGCCACACACATTATGCTGAAATTTCAGTAAATGATGGAAGGGGGGCAGGGTGCATCTAAAAAACCCAACGAGTCAGTCCTAAAGAGAAATGGCCCCGTGTGTGTGTGTGTGTGTGTGACCAAAACTGGGGACCATGAGCCACTGACGCCAAGCACTTGGATTTGAAACCAATCCCATGAACTTGTTTACTTGGAAGTAAGTCCTATTGGTTTCTATGGAACTAAGTGTGGTCACCTTCACAGTTTTAACCCCGCTGATTTCAGCGAGGTTCTCCATCGGTTTAAACGCAATTCTCTGATGTGTTTGGCACATGACTATAAGGCAGGTCGTCACCGAAGTCAGTGAGAAGCCTCACACTGAGATGAGAAAGTCCAGGCTTACCGCCTCCAATGAGCGCAATGCCTAAACCTCATCTGTTACACCCAGACCCTAAACAGGGTGAAAGGAAGTCCCAGGGAAGGCACCGGGACTTGCTTCCGCTTTTGAGGTGGGTGCCGGTCTGGAATCATTTTTACCTTCTTCGGGCTCTGAACAAGTAAAAGGCCGAGCAGCCTCTCTCTACCTCCAGGCCTAAACACCCCCACAGGAACTTACTTCCAAGCGACTGAAGGGTCTTTTTTGGTTTGATTTTCTCCCCTCCCTTTCCAGATTTGTACCACATCCCAGCACAAGTGTTCTAGCACAGAAGAGCTTCTAGAACTCCAGACTTACGGAGAACTTCCTGTGTATGACCTGTGCAGCTCAGTCTCCATCTCTCTCTCTTTCTCTCTCTCCCCTCCCCCATCTTATGCACAGTTTTTAGATCTTTTCAAAGTGCCACTTTCTGCTGGAAAAGAAGAGCAACAACCCTACGTAGACTTACCTGGTCTACCCAGCCTAAGCCTAATGAGACTCACTTCCATGTAAACGTGCTAGGATACGACTGCCTATCATTCTCTCTCTTTCTCTGCCTCTGGTAAACACACGCACACACACAGACGTGTCCTTCGGCTTCTTTTCAGGTGGGCCATGGATTGCCCAAATAGGACCGCCAGTCTTTATACGCCATCTTTCAGCCTCCCTCCACCTCTGCCCCCAAATGATCTCTCTCTCTCTCTCTCTCTCTCTCTCTCTCTCTCTCTCTCTCTCTCTCTCACACACACACACACACACACACACACCCCTTTCTGGCAGGCCAGAGCTATTTCTTCTCATCCTTTCTTCCCTGTCCTCTTCCTGACACTGAAGATCTACTTAGGAAGAAACAACCCCACCAACCAACCCCCCACCCATCCTGGAGGTTAAAGGATGGCAGAAAGAGCAAATCAAGACGCCGCGAAGGCGATCCTTTGGGTTCTCAAACTTCACAGCCGCACGAAGAGAACACTAAACAGCTGCTCCACTGACCCACAACTGGCCAGCGCTCAGCGTGGGAAATGCAAGTCATCTTCAGCAAAGCTATGCTATGTGTAAACTTCGGGTTTCTTGCAGTGCAAATTCATGCAGGGGAGGGGGAAGACCATCGGACCCGACCGAGAGCACACTGCCTTCTTCCCTATGTCCCCTCCCCCCTTCCCGGACTAAAACCAGGCAGAGTGTTCCAGTGCATTGAAGCATCTTTCCTGCGTTCCTGCCTTTGGCATAGACACGCAAACACTTGATGGCAAGGATCCTCTGTTAAGGCAGGCCAACTTTTGTCCGCCCCCAGGGACAGTGTTCTCCATCCCCCCACCCCCCACCCCACCCCCAGGACATTTGGAAGCCTTCTCTGCCTGTGCCTTGACGCGAGAAAGACCGAGAGAGAGAGAGAGAGAGAGATTGGGGGGGGGGGCAGACACGCACTCGCCTCTGTTGCACACGCATCCATATACTCACTGCACTCCATTGCCTGGTTAGTCGCCTGTAAAGGTCAAAACACATCATTCATTACACACTTTGCTACCGTTTCAAGGAGAGTTCAGTGCAGTCGCCTTCCTTCCTGTTTGTCTGCCTTTTTGTTTTGTTTGGGGGGGGAGGGGGGAAACAATCAAAAGGCCGGAGGAGTAAGGGGTTAGGGGGAGGGGGCCAGGGGCCGGCCCCCCTCCCCAGGTCCCTCCCTGCTCCTCCTCCTCCGCCGGCGGTGGCGGAGTTCACTGCACAGGAGTCTGTACCCCGTGGTGCGGCGGCGGCGGCGTGTCCCTGCTGGCCCCATACACGTCCTCGGCTCCCGGCAGAGTCCCTCCCGGGGGAGTCATGCGTTTCTCTTTCTGTCTCCTGTTACAAAACCACACGCGGACCACCTCTTTCTCGAGCTGGAGGCTGTCCGCCAGCGAGGTGATCTCCTGGGCGGAGGGCTTGGGGCACTTGAGGAAATGGCTCTCGAGGGCGCCCTTGACGCTCACCTCGATGGAGGTGCGCTTTTTCCGCTTGCGCCCTTGCGCCGCGATCTTGTCTATGCTGGTGGGGCTGCCCGACGACGAGTCCGCCTCCTCGAGCCACTTGTTCAACAAAGGCTTCAACTTGCACATGTTCTTGAAGCTCAGCTGCAGGGCCTCGAAGCGGCAGATGGTCGTCTGCGAGAAGACGTTGCCGTAGAGCGTGCCCAGGGCCAAGCCCACGTCCGCTTGGGTAAATCCCAGTTTGATCCGCCGCTGCTTGAACTGCTTGGCGAACTGCTCCAGGTCGTCCGAGGTCGGCGTGTCCTCGTCCGAGTGCGCCTCGTGGTGGTGGTGCGGGTGGTGCGGGTGCTGCGGGCCGCCGTGCTGGTGCGGCGGCGGCGGCGGCTGGGGGAGGTGGTCCGGGTGGTGCGGCGGCGGCGGCG